ATTTCTCATCAGTTAAATCCTATTTCAATAAAACTTTTTTCAATAAATAATAATATTAATAATAATTGAAAAAAAAATTAGTTGAGAAACAAAACAATTCTAGACTAAGTGTGATCAAAGTGTGTGAAATAAAACTGAATGGCCACTTTATAGGGTGTGTATACATGTGCCATGTGACATATTTAAGTGTCACATATGTTTTCTATGATCAGTATGTGTTTTTTACTGCGCCGTAAGCAGAAGGCTTGGTGAACGCTAGACGGATAGCCTAGATTTATACAGATGAATTACTGACATTAGCAGTGCTGTCGAAAGGTTAACCACTTGGTTACATTCTGTAGATGTTTATGAGATACTGAACACTGTCCACTTGTATGATTTTGAATGTCAATGGACCAGTATATTGCACTAACCAGATTATATTAGATCCACTAACCAGCATCAGTGAGTGAGATCATTAAAATCCAGGAAGAACTATTTTATCAGTGCGCACCCACCACCCCATCAGGGATGGAATCCAGGACCTTCAGGTCACGAGATGAAATCCGTTGGCCGTGCAGTCAATTGGGCTGGAATTCGCTGACCCATGAATTCTTACTTTTTCAACTCGTGATATATCTCTATCATGGTTTCCTGTGATGAAAATGAAAACAAAACACGTAGTTCAGGGAAAAGTTTCTTTTTCGCGGCGAATTTATTCACACTTAGCTGTACAGTCGCAATTATATATACTTATTTTTCTACATGTGTGTACATTAGTTTTGTCCGATGAGAATAAAAATAAGTTAGGGGTATTGTTGTCAAGGCATTTCCAAAATGTAGTGAGTAATCAAACTGTAAGTGGGGGTTGGGGTGAAGATTGGTACGAGGGTAGTGGTGATGTGCCCTCAGGAAACATAGTTATTATTGTTAATCAATACATAAACGAAGTGGAATCAGCGTAATACATTTATGTATTAAGATGAATAGTTTAAATGAGTGAGTTGTGATTATGATGCTCATAGAAACAAAGGAATATATGAAATTATGTAAGAGTTCAGGGTGGCCTACAAAGTGAAGAACAACCTCCCAAATGTGATACGCTTTCATCTTCTTTGTATCGCTGAAGCCTTAGCCACTCAGTTGGAAAAACCAGAATTATGCAGACAAAAGAAAATCATCCAACCACTTCTACTGTCATGGTAACAAACGCGTTGACTTATACTGACTTCATGTTTATGTGCTTGTTTTCTTTCTAACTCCTTATAACATTTGTAAGCTTTATAACTCTTACATAATTCCAAATTTTCCTTTGTTTCTGTGTGCATCCTAATCAAAACTCACTTATTTAAACTATTCATCCTATTTCTTAACTGTATTACGCTTATTCAAGTTCTTTTATGTGTTGATTAACATTAATAACAATAAATATCTCTGAGATGCTCACTTGCAACTGGCCCTCTTCAGGTAGGTGGGAAGTCGTGACCAGTAGGGTACAGCAGGTCTGGCGTGAGGACAAATACTCGCCGAAGACAATGGCTAGTGGTCATGCTATGTTGTGAATTAGTAGAAGTTGAAATTCATAGTCCATTGGATCGGATCCCTGTGGCTTAATGGTCTACGAGCTCACCTTGTAACGAGAATGTCCTGGGTCCCAACCCCGAGTGGGTGCGTACTGCCAATGTTCAACGAACTAGGATGAAACAGCTGTTCAGTACTACCAGCTTTTCCGATGGTTCTCTAACCAATGTCAGTTCACGATGAAATCCTGAAAATACAAAAGATCTGATTCTTGATAATCAGTGGTCACTACCAACTTCACTAAGCAGACTTATTAAGGCAGCTAAAATGACTAGTAGTCATCTCTGGTGACCCTTCAAGTATTTGCAGTACTTTTTTCTACAGTATTAAAACTGTTTGACTATTTGAAATGAAACTGCCTACCCCAACGATTTATAGTCTCTGTTTACTTATCTAGATAGTACTGAAATAGTGATCCAGTAAATTTATTTTTTCCGTCAGTGAGATAAATCCATAGTATGAGATGACGCCTAATGTCCTCCGTGAAAATGCGCACCATTTCCACAGAGATACTGCATTTAACTCACCATATATTTAAAACAAAACAATGAAAGCCTATGAATGGAATTATGCATCTAATAAGGTTTAAGCTTTGGAATGATCTACAAAAAAAGAATAATAGTTGTTGGATGAATGAAAACTAGCTGTGACAGGCATATAGGAAGGAGAAGCAGAGATATGCACACTTCTACACATTTTTATCCATTATGGATAAGACTTCATTTTGATAAATCACACAGTGTTATACAGTAATATTAACTGATGACGTTTCGAGCACAAACTATTGCCACTCATAATCATATCAAGTTACTCGTACAACTTTTTCCTTCATTTATATACATGAGTGGAATTGACTAGATATTTGAATAAAAATTCCTTATAGGATAATTACAATCAGATGGGTAATAAGACGAGTGTTTTTATGGTCAAAATAAGTAACTTGTGTGGACTCGATGAACAAGGATCCAATAATCAATCTCTATCTCTCTGCACCTACTTATATAACTTCTTAGAATTTAAACCCTCTCCCACTCTAATGTGTGATTGTGTCGTAATGCATGCAGTGCAATGTAGCACTGAGGGTTTTTCTAAATTACTTATCTTCTCGGGGTTAAAAATTCCTACCTTAGCTAAATTCTTATGTTTCGACAATTTGACTACCCCTGACCTACCAGTTTGACCTATGGAGTTGACTCAACTCACAGTCATTGCAGTGTATTTTGTAAATTATATTATTTTGTTTAATTGGGTCCACCGGGTCTTTTAGCCTACGGAGCTTGTCTTAGAATGAGTTTGTAGGTTTGAATACCACCCTACACATTTTTGTCTAGTGGAAACCAAACGTTTAATGACCTTGATATGAATCATGAGATTGATGTCAAAACAACTCTCAAGAAAACAGTCAGGGAAACCTACTGAGATACAAAGAGACTATAGCGACCTACACCTGTGTGTACAAAGAAGATTTATTATTATGCTGTTGTTTTTTATTCTTTTACGTTCTGAGTTAGTACATACGGCTTCAGCACTGAGCTTTGAAGCTGCAGTGGGGCATCTAGCCTTATATGCAACCTACCCTTTTTACCGAGCTTACTGCCACCTGGCAAACTAGGAGAGGTTTAAGGGCAAGTCATTTGGGGACCAAACCACACACCATATGCGGCTTGGTTGGAGAGGATTCTACCACTGAACTACCGACTCACGGAGGCGTTATCCACTAGGCCATTACTGCCAGCTTAACTCACCTTGGTAATCCTCTTCATCTAAAGTAGTGTTAATTACTATCCTTCTTGTTTTTAAGGCCATTAGCATTTTGTTTATTTTAATTGGCCTTTGATTTGACAAGTAAAGATGCGCGATCAGACTGTTCATAATGTATTGCGCAAATACATCACATTCTTTTTCAGATAAACTCCGTCTTCTAATGATGCTACCCAAATTTATTGGGGGGTGGGGAGGTAGGTAATTGTTATAAATGACTTCGTTCCTTAAATGATAGGATCCCGCATAAAATAGTATATCATCTTTTCTCACGCAAATTGTGACTGATAATACAATTAGTTATTTCAAACGTTTTTAGCCGTCTTTATTGTTGTAAAAATGTATAAATACCATGTGTTGTTTTCCTAATAATTGTTGTTATTACAATATACAGTACAATACAGCATCTTACAGTCACAGACCAGCCTTTGTCTTTTGATATTTGCGTGGCTCAGTGAATCGGAAGCAGGCGCAGACATAACAAACAAGCGACGACTGTTCTCATTCAGTTCAGTGCAGTTACAACAGTAAAGAATACCAGTCATTCAAAAACTAAGAAGGAAGAATAGTCAGTCTTCTGTCTAATCGAAACTAAGCCGCTTACAAATTGAAAACAAGTCACTTATGAATACTGCATTGTTATCCATTAGAAGCGTTTGTCTAGAAAGCTCTCTGTGTTTCAAATAAAGCAGAATCCAAATTGTTTGTGGGTGCATTATCCTAATTATTGAGTGGTCATTTGGATAACTACTGCTGTTCTTATTGCCTCACCTTATTGTCATGCAATTAAGAAAACCGGGATTCTTGGCAAGTCACTGGCGCTTAAGACGATTTTTAAGGTGTAAGTGGTTGCATCACATACATCAACAATACCTTTTAGGGTGTCATTCAGTAATTTGGGTGGCAAAAACATTGGATAGAAAAATAGGAGACCGATTTGTGAGTACCAATGAGATATTTAGTCAATAAAACTATGTTATTTTGTTTGGGTACATCAAGTAGTAACTAATATCATACATTGGGTCCTTCACCTGGTGCAGATTGCACTCTATTGAACAAGTTTGCAATATGGCTACCATTACAGTGCAATCTGAATTGTTGTTAGATAGTTGGAAGGAATCGGTAGGAATTCTTCGACGTGGTTTCGTTCTTGTTATCACATTTCATTAAGGAATATCTACAATCCTAGAGGAACTCAAGTCCTTTCTGAGATTCAAAGGCAGCCAACCACCTAGCATGGTGGCCACATTGCAGACTTGACTGTTAGAATTCAACTTGCACTAGACATTAGCAACTACTTAGTGCCTAATAAAAGTATCCATTACAGTCCTACTGGAGGTGGATCGCTGACTACAGCACTGGGTAACCCAGGTTTGAATTTCAGAAGGAACCTGAATCCTTTCAGGTTCTGCAGATACTCCTTGCAGACAAATGTCAACAAGGCTTCCTACCGATTGCCTTCAACCATTTAAAACTATGTCATGTAGGAATATTTTTAACGCTCATAAAATGAATTGCCAGGGAAATTATTCAATCTTATGTACTGTATCCTAACTTCTGTCTTTTTTATTTCCTGATGAAGAGAACCAGACGCATTGAGGCGGTAAACATGCAAACTGGACTCAATTCACTATGGAAAGATTTTTATTCTCTCTGTACAAGAAGTAATATTGTAACTAGTGAAAAATACGTCTATTTTTTGACAGTGAAACCGAATCTTTATTCATAACTATAAAAAATAAAGTGTCATTTTATTTGTGTTTGTGTTACTTCCCTCTACCCCGCCCATAAACAGACAAATAGAACTCTTAACAGAAATGTCTTTGCAGTCCATATGACGGTTTATATTGGTTTTAAAAAAATAAACACAAGTAGATAATATTTGGTCACATACTTAAAACACTTTGTGAGCAGTAATTGGTGTGTTTTATCCTTTAGGGCATATCCCCGCGATGAACCTGTGGAACAGAAATCAATGTGAATATTTGGTTGACTTAGTTTGTGAATGAATCACATAAACACACTAAAACAATTTAAGCATCACAAATTATCTAGTGTGTAGAAAAACTAGTTCATTTCAAATTAAAGTAGTCATCTTAAAACCAGTCTAAATGTCAGACATGAGAAATCCCTTGTCAAATGTGTGTCACACATTATTGACTCCTGTAAAGTGTATATTTGATTGTTAGAAACTGAAAATGTGCTTTCGGTAGTCCTTGTTTGAAGCGTTTCTGAAAATCAAAGTAAATTTTCAGGTCATAATGTGTCTTGTCTTAAACTTAGTGTATTCAGTATTTGTTAGGATCTTCTTTTATCTTATCCCTTTGTTTTCTGAGTGGAACAGAAAGCTTCATGTCTGAGCCTTGCAGTGGTTTTATTTTTACAGGATGAGGTTGCTGGTCTCACGCCCAACGTCCCCTCTTTGCGGGGATTACTACCAGCTAAGTGAGGTTTATGAGTAATTGTCAGGATGGTGGCATTTATTAAAACATTTCCAGAAGATATTCTAGAAATGTATTAATGTAATGATGACAGTGTAATCATGTCCAGACCTACTAAATTTCGTGGTAGGATATTATGAAGTGAACACACACACACACTCATAATATACAACACATGAGTAAATTTGCACGTCAAAACCCTTTTAATTCCCTTTGAATAAGAAGCGTGTTTCATTTTACACACGGAAAGCATTCATTGACAGCTAAACATGACCGTAAAAATAAATTCACTTAACACAGTGTTTGAAAGTGAAGTAAACAGATTGAGACAGTGATTATCGGAGGAGGTTTCGCAGAACAGAAACTTTTTTCTAACATCTATATTTTTTCATAGGTGAATAAAGTTTTGGTCACTTTAAGTATCTAAACTATTTTAACATTGATTTAGTCATCCCTTTTCCTGGAACAACTGTTCATCCTTGGGTGAAGACATGTTTATTGGGTGGTCTGATGAATATGTTTCAAGTTCTGAAATTGAGAAACCAGGGAAACATTGAACATCTACTTCTTCAAGCTCAAGTTTAAACTTTGTCAACAATTCATAGGGAAAACTACTACGGAACTACATTATCTGAAAATGGATTGGTGAGTTTCACACAAAAGCCAGTTGAATGCATATGTTATTTCGATACACAAATGCTTGAATGGAGATATGTTGAAGACTGATGCAGTTGTCTAGCTGCCCCAAAGCCCCCTCCGTTCCCACTGCTTGCACTCTTACTACTTTTATATTTCACAATTTCCTACTGTCTGTTTGTTCCTAATTTCTATAAACTAGAACTCAACAACAAGAAGAATAAAGTTCTCTACTCAAAAGTGGATTCAAATTAATAATAACAGATTTATGAGACACTAATTACAGATGGCATAATGAATGCTAACACTATGAGAATAAAATATTGGTCAATTAAATTAGTTTATGTGCTTACTCTAAAAGGTATAGCTTATTATGTTCTTGATATGAATTGTATACACCATGAGAGCATAAATAATAGCATACTTGAAATATTTTTATACCTTCACCTGTCACATTTTAAAATCAGTATGCATCAAACACATACTGAATAATCATCGAATGAGACTTTATTTCACCTTTTTTTTATTATGATTTCTTATTTCTGTTCTAGTTACTTTGCCTCACCATTTGTTAATTCTCACCACTCTTCACTAACTAACCAGTTGATCCAGCAGTGATAGTAATAATAATAGAGACAGAAGTGCAGCTAAATAAACAATTAATTAGTTCATTGAGTAGTCGTCCTTACTTTATTTAATAAAAAAAGCACATTATAAGGTGGTGAGTTAGGAAGAACCCTAGTTAAAGTCAAGCAGTGTCAAGAACAGATAAAATTAAAGTTCGCTTAAGAAGAAAAGACAGGGTGGGGGGGGGGGCGGATGACTGAACCAACAACGGGGACATCAAGACTTCTCCTAGTCTTCGCCTAGAAAATACACCACTGTACTTGTATGTCGTCTAATCGTGCTAAATACTGTCTTTGTAAAAATTATTCAGAACAATTAGTTCTCTTGTGTAACTTTCAACAAAGCAATAAGGAAATGTACTCAATCTGAATTGTGTAGTGTATTAGCGCAATACATTTCCAACAATCTGATCACACATACATGTACTTGTCATGGGAGTATATGCATATGAAAATAATAAACCTTAAATGTTGACAGAATAGACATAGGTGAACTTAAAAGGCTGTATTAATTCCATACATGTATGTGTATATGTGACCAAACTGTTCTAAATGTATTGCGCAAATACATAACACAATCTGGATGAATTACTTCTTTTTATTGTGAAATTATTTAGTCGTGGACCTTGAATATTCATCCGTGATGGAATAATTTTATTTGAGATACAATATTATTTTCCTATCAAAACGATATGATTATGAGCAATGGATTGTCCTCGAAAAGTGACCAGAAAATTAAGTATTACAATAATCACTGTATATGCATTTTATCATAAAAAATCATCCTAAAATGGAATTATTCTTTATCGCACACTGCCCAAAATCTATTCTTATACTGGTTAAACATTATAACCGGTAATAAAATATGTTTATACTAACAATGAAAGCACTGAACACAAACCACGTGTATTTTGTGTGAATCATTTCAGCGCTTCACTAAATAAGATTAATAGTACTTGTGTTTAGCATTTCAATGTGTTCAATATAGCATTTCATACAAACAAACAAACAGAAAAGGTAGTTCCAGTGAATAAATACAGTCATTCAGGCTTATGAGGACTCCTACCCCCTGATTTCTTGAGTTAGATAAGTCAGAAGGACACTCAACATGGAGGTGTGTTCTGATGTTGTATTTTTATACGTATATTTTGAGAAAATTCAATGTCCAAGGGAAATGTAAAGATACATTAAACAAAATTTACAATAAAATCTAAGAGCCCATAAATAATGCTTTCTTTTTTTTAAAAAAAAGGGAAAGAGGTGTGGAAACAGATGACAACACCATCTGAATGCATGAAAGCACTAGCATGTTCATATTATAGAGGAATGTACTTTTTTTTGGTTAAAGGTGCATAGTTTTGTGAATAGATGTTACTTATTATAATAATGATTATTATTATTAATATGAACATTATTTTGCATTATAAGTATTCTTTTCTCACTAATTTTTCCACAGGTGAAGACTGAGTACATATTATTATTATTATTAACACAAAATTTATTCATCATCAATCAGTAAGAACATGATTGCCATAAGAAGACAAATAAATGTCACCCACATAGCTGACAGTAGCCATGCCTGCCAGTTCAATCCTTGACCGTAGACAGCCAACGCGACAATAAAGCATATTACTGTTAGAAATCAGTTAAGAAAGAAGAGGGGAAAAATCACATGAAAGTTATTCTGCAAATCTTCAGGCATATATATATATATTACATTTAAATGATGCTATATGGGGAAGCGATTTCTGTTCAAACGAAATGTCACAATAAATTCTTCCAAATAGTCTAAATATTCAAGGTCAGGTGTTGGTTTCATTTAGCCGTTAAACCTATGCTCATTGAATAAAGCAGAGATTCAGCGTGAATGAATGCGTGTGTGTGTATGTGTGTAGGCGCTTCAACTACCCAATGTCTATTTGCATAAATGAAAGGCATCTCGCTTGTTTGGCGATATAATCGATTCATTTTATGAAAAGCAGAATTGACCTTTATTTACACTTGGTCATATTTTCTGGAGTTAGCAGACATAACATAATTTTCCTGCATGTACTTATATAATGAAATCACAATTATAACAACAACAACAACAACTGATGTTCTAGTCTTCCGTTTTTTCAAAAAGCAAAAATTTTCCACGTTTCTAGCTCGTCGTGCTGACGCTTACGTAAACAGCAAACATGTACAGGCAAAAGGGTTTATTGGTTCTCTCCTCGGATTAGCAGAAATCAACATTCAGGTCACAGTTTGTTCAATATATATATATATATCACCTTAGCATTGAAATTGGAAATAGATTTGTGTTTTTGTCAGAGCACGCTGATTTATCGATGCAAGCAAAGGGGTATTTAATTTCCTTTGCATCAGTAGGAGAACAAGTGGTGAATAATGGAATGCTTATTCTACTGCTATTACTACTACTACTACTACTTTTAACCTATTGTTGAACTCTTTATATTAAAGATTATTCCATCAAAACAATGACATCTTCATCAACAGTGTTCATACACATGGTATATTCAATGCCAAAAATTGAAGTCAAAAGCTTCATGAATTAAAATTTAATCTGACTAAGAAATAGTGAAGGATATGCTTCACTTCTTCAGATATACACGTTTTTAAAAAGTATTCTTCAAACAGTAAACCTTACTGTCTTCTACCAGTTGGTCATAGTGTCAAGCATTCAAGAAGTGATAGAGTAAAACCAATACAATATTCAGTGTAAATAAATATTCTAAAACTAGGTGAACATTACACGTCATAAACCGGTAAACTGTGAGTATCCCAGCGAAAAACAGACAGCCTGCTACTTGAATATAATCACACCTCCATTACACACACAAAGAAGCATTTACACTTACACATAAAATTAACAACATCAATTATTCAACAAAATAATACACTCAACTCACAGGCTAAAACCAAAAGAACAATAATAGCAATCATTATTCTCCGTGAGTAATCTCTGCAGATCAAAACAATGGCGAGTATAGCAGCTATCACTAATAGTACCAAGCCGACAACACTGAGTGCTCCATTCGCTTTCAAAAGGGAATTACTTGAATCAGCTGTATCCAGAAAAGAAACAACAAACAAGGGGAAAATTGTTTAACCCTAAAAAACAAACAATCAATAAATAGCAGACAACACATAAATTAGAATTAAAACAATTGATACGAAATACTTAATCCTTTTTCATGAGAATAAATTGATGTTAAAATAGATTTAATGTGTAAAATTCCACTTTGACTTTGACTTATCTATATTGCTGTTGTACAGCATTGAGATTGGCGTGATTGTCAGAATAAACTATATAATAATAATTATTATTATTATTATGACTACTAACGACAGTCGCATGTGGGTAAGTTTATACAAAGTTAAATGAAATACTTGTGTACCTTATTGATGAATGTTAATGCACCGTGTATTTTTTTTCTCTTCTGTTCCATTTAGAACATCAGAAAGTCACGTTTCTATAAAACATTACTGAATTGGATAAAAAACCATCCCGGCAACCCTCATGGCCCATAGTTCATTTTTATACTAATCCCACTACTATCACTAAATTTTTTTTTCAGTTGTAACCTGCGTATATAAGATTTATTAAGAAACAAGAACGAGGTGACTAGAAATATAGCTGACATAATAAATTATTAATTTGTTTATGAAAATGATCTTCAACCAAAATAGATTAATTAACATTAAATGAATAAATTGAAACAACATAACCTACCGCTCCAAGCTGGACTGATAGCTATCGATACAACTATGCAAGCGATTGCAACCAGTATAGAAATTAGATATATGATCTTTGCAACTGAAGCCATTCTAGGTTATGTGTGTAAATAGTTTCCTTTTTTTATTTCTTCTTCTTCTTGATTAATGATTTCTTAACTGTCAAACAGTGGAAGAGTCGATCACTTTCTACCACTAATCAGTCCTAGAAAAATTAAGACATTAAAATATTGACTACGAATAAGAACACCAACAGTCAAAACACAAATCTGTCGGTTACGTTGACAAACGAAAGTATTATTTATTACTAAATTACAACTTTGTCATGGTTATATAGCACATTTGTGAAAGTTGTTCACAGAGGTGGTTGGTTTTGATTGGTTTAAAAAACACAGATTAAATGGGTCCAATGAAATTTATTTATGCGTTAACTTTGTTCAGTTTGTGCCTATTTTTGTTTATTTGTGTGTGTGTTACATCAAAAAAGTGCTAGTAATAGCGTCAATGTAAAATAGTGAATGTGAGTTTATCACTAAAAAAAAAACCAGGAAAGTTACGAGATAATAAATATTCTGTTTATTCTGAATAAAACAGATCTGTTTTAAAATGGAAGTACTACAAATTCAGACTGTGCGTCGATGGTTCAGCGGTAGAATTCTCACCAACCGTGCCACACACACATGCGAAGGGGTTCAATCCTCGGTCAGCTGACTCGCTGACCCCACTTAGCCGGTATTAAGCCTGGGTGTGAGGCTAGCAACCCCATCCTGTAAATATAATATAAATTCTAGTTTGGGAATCATCGGCAGTACGTACCCACTGGGATACGAACCCAGGACCTTCCGGTTGCAAGGCAAGCTCGTATACCATTCAGCCACTGGGACCCGATTCAATGGCCAGTGCATGAATTCTAACTTCTACCAATTTGTGATTTAGCGTGACCCCAACCAGTGTCGTCGGTGGGACATTCATTCATGAGCCACTGAATCGGGTCCCAGTGGCTGAATGGTATACGAGATTGCCTTGTAACCGGAAGGTCTTGGGTTCGAATCCCTGTGGGTGCGTACTGCCGATGATTCCCAAACTAGGATGATACAGCTGTCCAGTACTCCCTGGTTCTCAGTGGTTCTCTAGCCGATATCAATCCGTGATCAACTCGTAAAACATAACTAGCCCTTACAAACCAAACTATAGAAAATATAATATAAAAACAAATAGATTACTGTATTCTGTGGAAAAGATTTACACAGCGTACAGAATTCTGCCGGCGTAATTTACTGCATAATATCTTCTCCTCAGCCAGGATCTCCAAGTAAAATAGCAGTCTATTGCATTATATGCAACTCACTGCTTTGGGACCCGAAGCAAAGACTAATCCCTCATGATATTTTCCCTTTGTCTCCGCAAAAGGTGGTGCACCGTGGTTTGAAAGCCAATTGAAAGTATGCTTGAGTACATTTTGCAACTCAAGGACATAATTGAATGGTTAAGACAATAAGAGTTAGAAAAGGTAGGATGTATTCCGTTTGGTGGCTCAGTGATTCAACCAGGTCAGACAACACTACTACTACTGAAACTTGACTCCCTACGTTCCACTTGGATACAAAGAAGTAAAATAATAAGAATTAAAAAAAAAATTCAGGCTAAATAGGTAATAATTACTACGCTTAATAGACGAAATAGATGACTATTTCTTAAAACAGATGTTTTTTCCGTTGTGTAAGTGCTTAAAAATAATCTAAGAAGAAGAGAGCAAACAGGCAACTGGATTATTCGTAGATTATGATGTCCCAGTGAAATATAGGGCTACGAGCTCAGACTTTCAAGTTTCAGTAGAGTTGGTGTTCATTTTTTACAAGGTGGGATCATAAGCCGCATGCCCACCCTTTCCTCTTTATTGAATTTGCTACCGAAGAAGCGAGATGAGAGTTTGCGTCGGCCGGGAATCGAACCCCAAGTCACGCGGACCGCTGGCGGTTATTCTACCACCAAACCAAAGTACAAGCTATTACTCCGCGGAGGCACAAAGTCGCCTACTGACAGTGGGGCACGAAAGCACCTGGGGATACATCTCTAACTGTCGAAATTTCCCCTTTATTTGGTATAGAAACATACAACAGGAGTGCGTAATTGTAATGAGAAATTCTATCCGAACTATTCTACAGAAACAAAACGATACAGAGCCTAAAAATTGTCGGGCATGACAAAAGTAAAATCATAATTGAGCAAAGTCACCTGAAAAGGGTTATCTGTGAGTTCGACACTTTTTAGTTATGTCACTTCACCTCTGTTAACTCTGATATTTCCTCATAATGTCCCCGGCCGATCGCATGCAAAGAATTTCTACCTAGTGGTTATATAATTTTTGGCATACGAAAAGCAGTTAGACATTAACGGATTTTCTTTTATCTGCAGAAACCAAGTACCGCAGCAGGAGTTTTCCTTCATAATCTGGGCGTTAGTGGTCCAATAACAGCATGCCTGCTAGCTACGTGGGAGGTGCAATGATTTGATTCCCGGTCGAAGCTTCTCACTTCAGCTGCAGGAAATTCATTCAGATTATGGGATTTGTAAGGATTTTGGATTAATTTCATCTGTTAGATTTTCATCACTGGGGAAATTCAGTTAGAGACAGATTCATTGGAAACCAGGAAGAACTGGATATGTGTGTCTTCCTATTTTGGGATGTCCTATTCAGTCGCCAGCTCGCTGAAGGATACTGGATGGACTTCATGAAGCTTCAGTTGGAAGTCATGACCAGTGGGGTTCACCATGTCATCGAAGACATTGGTGAGGACACATATATATCACTAGTCGACAGAAGCTAGAATTCACGGGTAACTAAATTACCGCCCAACTGGCTGAACGGTGAACGAGTTTGTTCTAGGAATCTGAAGGTCCCAGGTTCGGGACCTGGTGATGGGTGCGCATTTCTGAATAGTTCCGTAACAGCTCTGCAGTTCTCCCTGGCTTTTAATGATTCTCTCTCTACAAGTGTTGGTTTCCAGGGATTTGATTAATTACAGGATTTCATCATGAGCTGACATATGTCAGAGAACCTTTGGAAAACCTTGGAGTGCTGTTTCGTCCTAGTTTTGGACTCTTCAGTAGTGCGCATCCACTGGGGTTCGAACCCAGGAACTTCTCATTAAAAGGCGAGCTCGTAGACCATTGGGCCACTGGGACCCAGTCCAACGGTTCAAGAATTCCAACTTCCGCCAATTCATGATATGGCGCGACCACTACCGAATGTCCCTGTCGAGTATTTGTCCTCAGACCCGACTTGCTGTACCCTACCGGCCACGACTTCCCATTCAAACCTAGGTAACTACTAGTTACCTTTCTAACTGATATTGGTTCGTTACGAAAATCTAACAAGTGAAATCAGTTCAAAATCCACACAAATCCTATAGTCTGAATATTAACAGTTTTATGTTTGTAATGGAATAGCAACGTAATAGGCACCTTTCAGGAGATGCAGACAACTTTCGGTTGAAATCCTGTAAAACATCTATTCCAATGCGTTGCTTTTCCTTGTAATTCACTGAGTGATTAGATATTTATAAAATCAAACTACTTGTCCCTCTTTCTGTTTAATCTTACCGCTTATTATTTAAGCTTAGATCACTTTGGTGTTTATTCATGCATGATGAGTGGAAATCTAATGAAAACAAGATTTTTTTAAGTAAGAACAACGCAAAGTGTTTTTTTTAAATAGTCCATTTTTACACATTGGTATTTTACTTGTTTTTCGTTTTGTCTCTTTTTTGTAACGAAACTGTGCTGAAGACTCTTTCAAGTAACCCGAAAGAAAAGTGTTGCATATACTATTATTGAAATATTTTTCTGTAAACAATTTCTCTTACGTAATCCATAAATCTCGTGACTGCATAATGATATTTTCTTCTAATCCATAGTAGGTGTGTTGCTTTCATGCGTAAACGCGCAGTGAGAATTCTCTTCTCTTACACAAAGCTTTGCTTGTATATTTGTTAATAGTTAGAATAAGAATCCAGGGCTAAAACATTATTCTACAAACTGCATGTCATCTAGACATTTTTATGCTCCAATGTTTTGTTCTCTTCACTGAGACAGAACATTTTATTACCAGAAATATCAGAGTATCACTTGTTGGGTAATTAAATATTACTTTTGCCGCAGACGAAAACATAGTCCTTGTCGTAATAAGCTTATGTGCTGGTCAACACTGGTGAATGAGTTATTTGGTAGAAGTGGGCTAGCATAACATTTCGGTCCCAATTTAAAACGTTTTTATGAGGTTTTCAAATGTAGGTGTTAGATTCAAGTCTCAGACAAAATAAATGAAAGATAACTAGTCTCCAATGGGACTAAATGTGTACTTTGGATCCCTAGGCTTATTTCTAGCAAATACCTATACCGTCGATGTGAATGCTATTCATGTTTGCAATTTATTTATTAGTCTTGTTATCATATTTAGTTATTTTCGCATTTAACAATAACAATTTAGAAAGTTATGCGTGTTTTATACACCTTTATGAAAAGTTGTCACTATCTCTAACTATCTTAGATAAATATTGACTGTCATGGCTGACAGTGAGTTGTCAGGTATTTTGAATAATGTTCTGTGTTATTATTTTGCGAATAACTCTTAAATGACCTTGATGGTGTTTACATTTACGTTTTAAGCGATGAGTGTCGATCACCCTACCAGTATAACTTCACTTGTATAGTACATACAGCTTAAGTATTTATATATATATATATATATATATATATACATATATATTTACCGTTGGCAATTTGATTGAGTTTATCTTAACATCACCAATGCTGACCCTATTAAAGAATGAGCACAACTGAAACTCAGTGACAGGATTAAGTTATGCAGATGAGAAAAAAATAATAAACAATTCATTGTATATTTTAGACATAGATATAATGTGACATTTTATTGCAGTTTAGCTTTACGAATTTTCTTCGCCTACAACTTTCCCATTAGACCGGCTGTAGTCCAAATGTATGATTGATGAGCTGATATGGAAATAACTTTACACTGTTGTACCCATTGACGTCCTGAACAAGTTTCTTTATATCTATCCAGTTCAATACAAAAACACAGTTAGTGGTTATATTTGAATGATATGCTGAAAAATACACCAAGTTCTAGTGCTTATCATACTACAACGCTGTGCTTTGCGGGCAAGTGGAATGACAAAACGGTTTTCTTATGAAAGGCATTGTTGGAGAATGACTGTGAAGAATTCTCATTTGTTCTTAACAAGAGATAACAATTCATGGTAATTTTTTTTCCTTCACGTTCCCAGTGGAACATAGGACTTCAAGCTAGTGGCTTGAAGTTTCTGTAGCAGTGTTTATTTT